AGTACACGATGTTTGGAAGTACACGATGTTTGGAAGTACACGATGTTTGGAAGTACACGATGTAAGGAAGTACACAATGTTTGGAAGTACACAATGTTTGGAAGTACACGATGTTTGGAAGTACACGATGTTTGGAAGTACACGATGTAAGGAAGTACACGATGTTTGGAAGTACACGGTGTAAGGAAGTACACGATGTTTGGAAGTACACGATGTTTGGAAGTACACGATGTAAGGAAGTACACGATGTTTGGAAGTACACGATGTTTGGAAGTACACGATGTTTGGAAGTACACGATGTAAGGAAGTACACGATGTTTGGAAGTACACGATGTTTGGAAGTACACGATGTTTGGAAGTACACGGTGTAAGGAAGTACACGATGTTTGGAAGTACACGATGTTTGGAAGTACACGGTGTAAGGAAGTACACGATGTTTGGAAGTACACGATGTTTGGAAGTACACGATGTTTGGAAGTACACGATGTTTGGAAGTACACGATGTAAGGAAGTACACGATGTTTGGAAGTACACGATGTTTGGAAGTACACGATGTTTGGAAGTACACGATGTAAGGAAGTACACGATGTTTGGAAGTACACGATGTTTGGAAGTACACGATGTAAGGAAGTACACAATGTTTGGAAGTACACGATGTTTGGAAGTACACGATGTAAGGAAGTACACAATGTTTGGAAGTACACGGTGTAAGGAAGTACACGATGTTTGGAAGTACACGATGTAAGGAAGTACACGATGTTTGGAAGTACACGATGTTTGGAAGTACACGATGTTTGGAAGTACACGATGTTTGGAAGTACACGATGTAAGGAAGTACACAATGTTTGGAAGTACACGATGTTTGGAAGTACACGATGTAAGGAAGTACACGATGTTTGGAAGTACACGATGTTTGGAAGTACACGATGTAAGGAAGTACACGATGTTTGGAAGTACACGATGTTTGGAAGTACACGATGTAAGGAAGTACACAATGTTTGGAAGTACACGATGTTTGGAAGTACACGATGTTTGGAAGTACACGATGTTTGGAAGTACACGATGTTTGGAAGTACACGATGTTTGGAAGTACACGATGTAAGGAAGTACACGATGTTTGGAAGTACACGATGTTTGGAAGTACACGATGTAAGGAAGTACACGATGTTTGGAAGTACACGATGTTTGGAAGTACACGATGTTTGGAAGTACACGATGTTTGGAAGTACACGATGTTTGGAAGTACACGATGTAAGGAAGTACACGATGTTTGGAAGTACACGATGTTTGGAAGTACACGATGTAAGGAAGTACACGATGTTTGGAAGTACACGGTGTAAGGAAGTACACGATGTTTGGAAGTACACGATGTTTGGAAGTACACGATGTAAGGAAGTACACGATGTTTGGAAGTACACGGTGTAAGGAAGTACACGATGTTTGGAAGTACACGGTGTAAGGAAGTACACGATGTTTGGAAGTACACGGTGTAAGGAAGTACACGATGTTTGGAAGTACACGGTGTAAGGAAGTACACGATGTTTGGAAGTACACGATGTAAGGAAGTACACGATGTTTGGAAGTACACGATGTAAGGAAGTACAAGTTAAGACACATGTTTGGAAGTACACAAAGTTTGGGAAGTACACGATGTTATGGAAGTACACGATGTTTGGAAGTACACGAGTAAGGAAGTACACGAGTTTGGAAGTACACGAAACGATGTTTGGAAGTACACGATGTTTGGAAGTACACGGTGTAAGGAAGTACACGATGTTTGGAAGTACACGATGTAAGGAAGTACACAATGTTTGGAAGTACACGATGTTTGGAAGTAAAGTGAAGTAGAGTAAGTACACGATGTTTGGAAGTACACGATGTTTAATCAGTGAAGTACACGATGTTTGGAAGTACACGATGTTTGGAAGTACACGATGTTTGGAAGTACACGATGTTTGGAAGTACACGATGTTGGAGTAAGGGAAGTACACGATGTTTGGAAGTACACGTTGTTTGGAAGTACACGATGTTTGGAAGTACACGATGTTTGGAAGTACACGATGTTTGGAAGTACACGATGTTTGGAAGTACACGATGTTTGGAAGTACACGATGTTTGGAAGTACACGATGTTTGGAAGTACACGATGTTTGGAAGTACACGATGTTTGGAAGTACACGATATTTGGAAGTACACGATGTTTGGAAGTACACGATGTAAGGAAGTACACGATGTTTGGAAGTACACGATGTTTGGAAGTACACGATGGTTGGAAGTACACGATGTTTGGAAGTACACGATGTAAGGAAGTACACGATGTTTGGAAGTACACGATGTAAGGAAGTACACGATGTTAAGGAAGTACACGATGGTTTGGAAGTACACGATGTATGGAAGTACACGATGTTAAGGAAGTACACGATGTTTGGAAGTACACGATGTAAGGAAGTACACGATGGTTGGAAGTACACGATGTTTGGAAGTACACGATGTTTGGAAGTACACGATGTTTGGAAGTACACGATGTTTGGAAGTACACGATGTAAGGAAGTACACGATGTTTGGAAGTACACGATGTTTGGAAGTACACGATGGTTGGAAGTACACGATGTTTGGAAGTACACGATGTTTGGAAGTACACGATGTTTGGAAGTACACGATGTAAGGAAGTATACGATGTTTGGAAGTACACGATGTTTGGAAGTACACGATGTTTGGAAGTACACGATGTAAGGAAGTACACGATGTAAGGAAGTACACGATGTTTGCAAGTACACGATGTTTGGAAGTACACGATGTTTGGAAGTACACGATGTAAGGAAGTAGAGGGTGTGACCTACAATCGACGCCCCCCTACGATCTCTCGCCTGACTCCTGTCTGGCACCCGCGTCGAACTACTGCAAGGAACGGCTCACTTGCTCTTAGACTACTCCCTCTGCACCAAGTCGGTTTCTAAACTCTGGACCGACTCTCACAGCCACCCATACCCGGAGGGAGTTTGAGGGGTCAACGCCCCCCGGCCCGGTCCGTGACCAGGCCTCGTGGTGGATCTGAGCCTGATCAACCATACTGTTACTGCTGGCCACACGTAAACGAACGTACGAGCTACAGCCCGGCTGGTCAGGTACTGACTTCGCGTACCTGTCCAGCGCCTTCCTGGAGACAACCAGGGATCTATTGATAATCCCCTTTAATTAAAGCTAATATTTTCACCACAGAATATGGTATATATTAATAAATAAGGAAGTACTGGCAGTAGCAGCCTGGCTTAGGACATGGTCGCGAGGACGGTGACCCTCGGAATAGTCTTGTTAAAGTCTACAGCGCGAAGGAATTTGTCATGACTGAGACTCCAGTGGCTGGCAGCAGCTGGAAGCTTTATGAGGCACCTTACTGCAGCTTAACACTGAGGAAAACATTGATGATATACATTTTAGTTTTGAAGTAGACCAGGGAATGGTTGATCAGTGGTTTAATGGGTGTTAACTGGTGATGGTGGTTGATAAGGGTGTTGGATCTGACCCTGGGGAAGTGTGTTGGTTGGTTAATGGATGGTAACTGGCCCTAGGGATGGTTGTTGGGTGATTAAGACATAAGTGGTGATGTAACTGACTGCGTGTGACGCGGCCTTCATTCACACTCGTTACAGGAGGCGCCAGGGGGCGGTTTACATGGTAATTGTGACCTCTGTGTCGTTTAACTAATAGTGGTTTTAATGACTGTGGCATCAGGAAGTCTGCAGGCGACATATACACACAAACAACTGTGACTCGACCCTGCAACCACAAATACGTGAGCACACACACACACACACACACACACACACACACACACACACACACACACACACACAGCTCAGGGGAATGTACGAGGAAAGGTTGAGGGAAATCGGACTGACGACACTGGAGGACAGAAGGGTCAGGGGAGACATGATAACGACATACAAGATACTGCGGGGAATAGACAAGGTGGACAGAGATAGGATGTTCCAGAGAGGGGACACAGGGACAAGGGGTCACAACTGGAAGCTGAAGACTCAGACGAGTCACAGGGACGTTAGGAAGTATTTCTTCAGTCATAGAGTTGTCAGGAAGTGGAATAGCCTAGCAAGTGAAGTAGTGGAGGCAGGAACCATACATAGTTTTAAGAAGAGGTATGATACAGCTCAGGAAGCAGAGAGAGAGAGAGGACCTAGTAGCGATCAGTGAAGAGGCGGGGCCAGGAGCTGAGTCTCGACCTCTGCAGCCACAATTAGGTGAGTACACACACACACACACACACACACACACACACACACACACACACACACACACACACACACACACACACACACACACACACAGTGTTCATTACTTTCCTTAAGGGAAATAGTAAACTAAATCTATACAAATATTTGCTGTGCCATTTTCTTACTTTGCAACAAAACTAACTTGCTGTAGCAACCATGCCAACCATGCTATAATTGATCTAATATAAAATAGCTTAATTTACATATCCTAATCTAAGACTTCGCATAACATTAGTTAACTGTCTTCTTTGGGGACCAAATCTTCAGTTGATTCCATCAAATGTTTAAGAAAAAATGTTCTTTGTTTAACTTTGTCAGGGGAGCTTTGAGGCGACTACTGACCAGCACAACTTTGTTCCACGTAACACTATCTGATGACCATCACTCACCCTCACTTCTCTGTCTCACACAGTAACACTATCTGATGACCATCACTCACCCTCACTTCTCTGTCTCACACAGTAACACTATCTGATGACCATCACTCACCCTCACTTCTCTGTCTCACACAGTAACACTATCTGATGACCATCACTCACCCTCACTTCTCTGTCTCACACAGTAACACTATCTGATGACCATCACTCACCCTCACTTCTCTGTCTCACACAGTAACACTACATGATGACCATCACTCACCCTCACTTCTCTGTCTCACACAGCAACACTATCTGATGACCATCACTCACCCTCACTTCTCTGTCTCACACAGCAACACTACCTGATGCAGTACGGGTACCTGCCTGCCTCAGACAAGGAGACAGGGAACCTTCGCACAGAAGACCAGCTCAGGGACGCCATCCGTACCATGCAGGTGAGCGTTTGTGCCTTGTTTCAAAATATATTAAAAATTCCGACATATTCAGTAGTTATAGATCGGATAAGCTTGGCCAGAAAACAGGACTAAGTGTTTCCTGACGCCGGTCATAGTCATATGATGACCCGCAACTGGAGCTTTTGGTCATCTGACCGAGGCCTTCCACTGGCCCACCCCTCCACCACTTTAAAACTAAGATTTACATTAGTCATAGTTGAAGTGCATTGAATTATATTTAATAATCGCTTATACACTGTTACTTACTTATCAAGTTGTCGGTATTGTATACCATTATTATACTCAATGATCGCTTATATACATAGGTAAAACTTATATTATTAAGATTCATTTAAATGTCATTAAAAAAGGGGAAGACAGTGATTTCTCAAGGCCTGAGCTTGCTACCATCTGCAGCTCATAAGACTGCCATCCCCACGAGCCCCTTCGAGGCGGGGTAGATGGCAGACCAGAGGCCTAGCTTCTCCCTACGAGCCCCGTGAGGGCGGGGAATGTGGCTAGGCCTGGGGACAGTTGGTCCCAAAGATGAGGAGGTACTTGTCCTTCCTCCCATGGGAGACTTAAGTCTCGAGACACTCCCCAGATAGGGAGCCAAGGCCGGGTCACCACTACTTGGAAAAGACCCGGGCCGGGAGAATACCGGTGAATAAAAAAAAAAAAAAAAAAAAGTGATTTCTCGTATTGTTGAAATATTCATAATTTGCTTTTTTGATCTTATATATCTATTTTGGTGTTGATTTACCACTCAGCAAAAGTAGAAAATGAGACGGTATCTATACACTTTGACATTATTATGGATTGACCTTTGTAATTAACGCATGGTAATTGTACTTATGTGTACCTGTACCTCAATAAACTTACACTATATAACATAAGTTTAAAATTATCCATGAGGATTCAGTAAAAACTTACTTCTCGGTTTACAACTAGGATAAATAAGTTTATTTAGGTACAGGTACACATAGTAACATGTTTAGCATGTATGTTAATTACCTAGGAGAATCAAAATAGTCAGAGTCACTTATTTCCATTGGGAAGGAGAGAGACACTTATTCAGTTATACAGAACCTTTTATTGGCGACGTTTCGCCCACATATTGGGCCTTAGTAAGTCACAGAGCTGCATGGGCTAAACATCGTCAGTGAAAGGTCCCATATCAAACTGTAAATTTCTCTTCTTACAAAGCTACCCCCCAATAAAGCCAGTAATATCGTTTTCTTTAGTATCGTTTGTTGTGCGTTTTCTATTATTTTACAAAGGTAACCATAACTAAAGAGCCTTTTTTTTTATGGCAAGCTGCCTCATTCATTTAAGTTAATATGCTAAAAAAAATGCTTTAGACCGCTCTGAAACAGAATTATAAAATGAAAACAAGTTTTCTTACACATAGAAAACAAATAATAATAATAATAATAATAATAATAATAATAATAATAATAATAATAATAATAATAATAATAATAATAACAATAATGAATGTCCCTTGAAAATAAGTCACAGCGACTGTATTAAGTTATCCCAAGTTAAATTAATATAATGTTTTATTATTTGTTTTTGCTACGCATTGACAACATTTCGCCCACACAGTGAACGTAAATATAAACACACATGCAATATAATGTGATCCTTTATTGACAACGTTTCACCCACACAGTGGGCTTTTTCAAGTCACACACAGATCTGTGTGTGACTTGAAAAAGCCCACTGTGTGGGTTGTCAATAAAGGATCACATTATACTGCATATGTGTTTATATTTCCATTGTGTCGGTATTTTATACCATTTATTTCCACAGTGATAAGTAATCAGGGTCACAAACAGATCTGCGTTTCGCCCGCTGGATGGGCGAAACGTTGTCAGTAGTGCATTTGTTTTTACTTTTCCAACATGTGGATATATTATAGCACTTTATCTTACGCCATATTGCTGGCTCGCCTCTACAGAGATTCGGGCACATACCCATCACTGGTAGACTGGACGAGGCTACCAGAGCACTGATGAAGAGGCCTCGCTGTTCCCTCCCAGACGTCCTGCCCTCAGACTCACCCAGCAGGACCAAGCGATTTGTTAAGCAGGGCAAGCGCTGGGACAGGTTCAACATCACCTGGGGGTGAGTACCACAAGCGTTAGAACAGGTTCAACATCACCTGGGGGTGAGTACCACAAGTGTTAGAACAGGTTCAACATCACCTGGGGGTGAGTACCACAAGCGTTAGAACAGGTTCAACATCACCTAGGATGAGTACCACAAGCGTTAGAACAGGTTCACACATCACCTTAGGATGCTGTACCACAAAGCGTTAGAAACAGGTTCAACATCACCTAGGATGAGTACCACAAGCATTAGAGCAGGTTCAACATCCTTGGGGTGAATACCACAAGCGTTAGAACAGGTTCAACATCACCTGGGGGTGAGTACCAGAAGCAGTGGGAGAAGTCCAGTATCACCTGGGGTAATACAAGCACTGGGAGAAGTCCACTATCACCTGGGGTAATACAAGGACTGGGAGAAGTCCGGTATCACCTGGGATAATACCCACAAGCACTGGGAGAAGTTCAATATCACCTGAGGTGTCACAAGCACTGGGAGAGGTTCGTCATCGCCTCGGGTGAAATCAGAAAATCAGAAATTGCCGGAACTATTCAAAGCAACCTTGAAAGATATAAATTGATCAATGAATCTCAGCACGGTTTTACAAAGGGGTGTTCCTGCCTTACCAGTTTAACTTCCTTCACTAAGGTATTTAAGGAGGTAAATCACGGTAATGAATATGATATTGTGTAAATGGACTTCAGTAAGGCCTTTGATAGAGCTCCATACAGGAGATTGTTCAGGAAAGTAGAGGCATGTGGAATAGGAGGAAAAGGTTTTTCCTGGATCGAGGCGTTGTTGACAGATAGGCAACAGAGAATTGACATAAATATGGAGAAATCAGAGTGGAGACCCGTAAAAAGCGGTGTTCCATAAGGGTCAGTGTTGAGTCCTTTATTATTCACAATTTACATAAAGGACATAGATGGGAGGATATTTAGCGTATAAGCAAGATTGCCGATGACACAAAAGTAAGCCATCATATTAATTCTGTCGAGGATTCTAGAGCGCTCCAGGAAGATCTGGACAGGTTAGTGTAGTGGACAGAGAAGTGGCAGATGCAGTTTAATGTAAACAAAGGTTATGTTCTAACCCTGGGAGAAGAGAATGACCATGGCAACTATAAAATGAAAAATGTAGATGTCGGTCACTCTGAATGCAAAAAAGATTTACGAGTTTTGGTAAGCAGTAATCTAATGCAGGGACAACAGCGGAAGTGTTCTCAATGAAACTAATAGAATTCTTGGGTTTTTATCAAGAAGAATAAATAATAGGAGCCCTAATTTTATACTTCACCTTTATATATTTTTGGTAAGTCCTTATTCAGATTTTGGTGTGCAGCTCTGGTCACACTATCACATAATGGATATAAAATGCCCTGGAGAAATAAACAGGAAGGATGACAAAGTTGATCAATGATCAGAAATCTGTACTTGGGATAGACTGAGGGCCCTGAATCTGTGACTCCGTGTTCTTTAAGTACAAAAGCACTGCGAGAGGGAGTATTATCCACCTGGGTAGAGGTTTAAAGAACCCAAGCACTGCGAGAGGTTGTATTATCACCTGGGGTAGGGGTAAGTACACAAGCAAGCGAGAGAGTGTATTGTCACCTGGGGAGAGGTAAGAAACCAACAAGCCACTGCGAGAGGTGTTTTTCACCTGGGGTAGGAGGTATAAGAACCACAAGCACTGCGAGAGGTAGTATTATCACTTGGGGTTGGGGGTAAGAAAACACAAGCACTGCGGAGAGGTGTATTGTCAAAATGGGGAGGTAGAGGTAAGAACCACAAGCATGCGAGAGGTGCATTGTCCTCCTGGGGTAGAGGTAAGAACCAAGCACTGCGAGGAGGTGTATTGTCACCTGAGGTAGAGGTAAGAACCTCAGCGCTGCGAGAGGTGTATTATACCTGGGTTAGTAGAGGTAAGAACCACAAGCACTGCAGAGTGAGAGGTGTATTATCACCTGGGGTTAGGGTAAGAACCACAAGCACTGCGAGAGGTTGTATTGCAACATGGGGGGTAGAGAGGGTAAGATCCACAAGCACTGCGAGAGGGGTATTATCACCTGGGGTAGGGTGTAAGAAACCACAAGCACACTGCCGAGAGGTGTATTATTCACCTGGGGTAGGGGTAAGAAAAAAAGCACTGCGAAGTTGCATTATCATCCTGGGTAGCGGTTAATTACCACAAAGCACTGCGAGTGTTGCATTATCACCTGGGGTAGGCGGTTAAGAAACCACAAGTGCTGCGAGAGGTATATTATCACCTGGGGTAGGGGTAAGTACCACAAGCACTGCGGAGGGTATTATCACTGGGGTAGGGCGTAAGAACCACAAGCACTGCGAGAGAGGTGTATTATCACTGGGGTAGGGATGTAAGTACCACAAGCACTGCGAGAGTGGTGTATTATCATCTGGGGTAGGGGTAAGTACTCAAGCACGAGGAGAGGTTGTATTTTCAACTGGGGTAGGTAGGGGTAAGTACACAAAGCACTGCGGAGGGTGTATATGTCACCTGGGGTAGGGGTTAAGAACACAAGCACTGCGAGAGGTGTATTAGTACACCTGGGGAGGGGTAAGAACACAAGCAATACTAGAGGTGGATTATCACCTGGGGTTGGGTGTAAGTACCACAAGCACTGCGAGAGGTGTAGTTATCACTGGGTAGGGTTGTTGGAACCACAAGAACTGCGAGAGGTGTGTTATCACCTGGGTTGGAGGTTGAGACCACAAGCACTGCGAGGAGGTGTATTATCACCTGGGGGGGGGTTTTAAGGGGTTGGAACACAGCCACTGCGAGAGGTGCTATTATCACCTGGGGTAGGGGTATGTGCCACAAGCATGCGAGGAGGTGTATTATCACGGGGTAGGGGTTATGAACCACAGCACTGCGACGAGGTGTGTTATCTGGGGGTAGGGTCTTTTTAAGAACCACAAGCACTGCGAGAGAGAGGTGTATTATCACCCTGGTGGTAGGGTGTAAGTACCACAAGCACTGCGAGAGGTGTATTATCACCTGGGGTAGGGGTGAGAACCACAAGCACTGCGAGAGGTGTATTATCACCTGGGGTAGGGGTAAGAACCACAAGCACTGCGAGAGGTGTATTATCACCTGGGGTAGGGGTGAGAACCACAAGCACTGCGAGAGGTGTATTATCACCTGGGGTGAGCGAAGTAAGAACCAAACAAGCACTGAAGAGGTATTATACACATGGGGTAGGGGTAAGTACCACAAGCACTGCGAGGGTGTATTAATCACCTGGTTAGGGGTAAAGAACCACAAGCAATGCCGAGAGGTGTTTTATCACCTAGGGGTAGGGGTAAGAACCAACAAGCACTGCGAGAGGTGTATTAGCACCTGGGGTAGGGTGTGAGATCACAAGCACTGCGAGAGGGTGTATTAATCAATGGGGTAGGGGTAAGAACCCAAAGACATTGCGTCGGAGGTGTATTATCACCTGGGGGTTGGGGTTAGAACACAAGCACTGCGAGAGGTGTTATTATACCTGGGGGTAGGGGTAGATACCACAAGCACTTGCGAGTGGTGTATTATCACCTGGTGGTTAGGGGGTGAGAAACCACAAGCACTGCGAGAAGGTGTTATTTCACCTGGGGTAGGGGTTAAGAACACAAAGCACTGCGAGAGGTGTATTATCACCTGGGGTAGGGGTTAGAACCACAAGCACTGCGAGAGGTGTATTATCACCTGGGGTAGGGGTAAGAACCACAAGCACTGCGAGAGGTGTATTATCACCTGGGGTAGGGGTGAGAACCACAAGCACTGCGAGAGGTGTATTATCACCTGGGGTAGGGGTGAGAACCACAAGCACTGCGAGAGGTGTATTATCACCTGGGGTAGGGGTAAGAACCACAAGCACTGTGAGAGGTGTATTATCACCTGGGGTTTGGGGTAAGATCCACCAAACACTGGAGAGGTGTCATTATCACCTGGGGTAGGGGTAAGAACCACAAGCACTACGAGAGGTGTATTATCACCTGGGGTAGGGGTAAGAACTACAAGCACTGCGAGAGGTGTATTATCACCTGGGGTAGGGTAAGTACCACAAGCCCTGCGAGAGGTGTATTATCACCTTGGGTAGGGGTAAGTACCACAAGCACTGCGAGAGGTGTATTATCATCTGGGGTAGGGGTAAGTACCACAAGCACTGCGAGAGGTGTATTATCACCTGGGGTAGGGTAAGTACCACAAGCACTGCGAGAGGTGTATTATCACCTTGGGTAGGGGTAAGTACCACAAGCACTGCGAGAGGTGTATTATCACCTGGGGTAGGGGTTAGTACCACAAGCACTGCGAGAGGTGTATTATCACCTTGGGTAGGGGTAAGTACCACAAGCACTGCGAGAGGTGTATTATCACCTTGGGTAGGGGTAAGTACCACAAGCACTGCGAGAGGTGTATTATCACCTGGGGTAGGGGTAAGAACCACAAGCACTGCGAGATGCTCAACAATGTCCATGTTTGTCGACCACAAAACCCATCGCATTAAGTATATTTGAAAATTATTCATAAATCTCAGGAGTATCATATATAATAACTGCTGAGGGAGGAAAACTTTCTAGGGAGGATAACTTTCTAGGTAGGATAACTTTCTAGGGAGTATACCTTCAAACCTCAGTTAATCTAACCAAACTTGTTCTGCCCTATTCTAAGTGAAGTCACCCAGAAAAAAATGTCTAGATATGCCTGTTGGTGACACCACGTTGTAGCCATAGTTCTGGTATTACACCTGAAGTCTACCTGGAGGACGGTCCGGGATCAGCGGCCCCCGTGGCCCAGGCCTTGACCAGGACTCCCGGTGGGTCAGGGCCTGATCAACCAAGCCCTTAAAACATTCTCTCACACCGAGACTCGGGTATTACGCTGCCCAGAGCAGTTACAACAGTACAAGGAACCTGTAACTCATTGGTAGAGCTTCATACAAGTGACGTACTGAGGCAGTGATGAAGATACGACACACGTTGCACAAGCTTTTGTTGCGGAAACGTTACTCTCTGTGT